AAAAAGAACAATTTCCCATGATGCCCTAGGAAAAAGGAAACTGTCCTATTGGTGGGAAATTTAGAGTCATCCTCTTTTCAGCAACTTCTCACCATGAGAACACATGGATTTGAGCAGCCCTGGGAATGAAGATTACAGATAAGGTTTATACAAATATCACTTTCTCATCTTTTTGCTTCAAAAGCCATTTTTGCAGAGTATCATCATGTCGGATGGCATTAATCTCTTTCAAAGGATCACCATCATTAGGACTGACAACACATATTGAAATAAAAGGTTTTTCAATGGTTGCTTGGTTCCAAATTTCCTGCAGAAAAATACTCATCAAAAGCATTCACCACCTGCTGAAGATGCACCTGTATTGCAGCAGCAATGTCTGAGAGTAGAGACTGATTTGTTCCAACAAATTTGGCCAAAGATGGAAACCAGGCTAAAATCCCTTTCTCAATATTATTCATCTATGGTGGAATTTTTGCTTTGAAAGTGGCCAGATTTTCAGGTGCAGTAACAAAGTTTATATTAATTCCTTGAATGGAAATATTCAAATGATTTAATGAATGGAAATATTCAAATGATTTAATGAATGGAAATATTCAAATGATTTAAACAGGGACTAAAACATCCACCAGTTAAGCTAACATTTGTAGAAATTTAGATGATTTGAACACAGAAGAAAGATCAAATTTTTACTCTTCTAAAAAAGACTTTAATTAAACACATAGATTAAATATATATTTCAAGACACATCTACAGGACAGTGATCTTACTCTTGTATATGGTACAGAAGAATTGTGTGTCTGGAATGAATACATTTACTAAATGCATGAAATAATTGATGGTTCAGGCAACATCCTCTGATTGAATTAAGAATATTCCCACAAGCTAACAAAATGACTTCTTTTTTTTCTTTTTTTTAATCATATCACCCCCAAGCAAAGCAATACTGCTACTATAACACAGAGAGTTACAGGGAGTGAAAGAGAATGAGAAAACTATAGTGGGAGAGATTGACAAACTTGCAATATTTTTGGTAAAGTTTTTACTGCCAATGCAGCAAGCAATGTGTGACATGAACCTCAGGAACTTCATTTTTCAGGAGGCCTGTGAATTCAGGCCAATTTCCAAGCATCGTAGGATTACTATCTAGACAGATGGAGCCAATGACATTCATATTCAATCCATGTTTCAAGAAATTCTCTTTTAGAAGATTAAATACATTCTGTAATCTTCAGTGGTTCATAAAATAAAATGGTTTTCTAAGACTTGACACATCAAACAACAGTAATTAGTTGATTATAATGTACAGTGTCTGTGGACTCATTCAGTTGCAACAATATTTTCATAGAACTCGCTTTGATATCATCAATCACTTACTTCAATATATCACAGTTCATATCACCAACAGGACATTGTTAGGCATTGGAAGTTGTGCCACTATCTGTTTTGCATCTTATTCCAGAACGATCTTGACAACTTCCATTGCACAAGACTTTACTAATCCTTTGGTGATTGTATCCATTCTTTTTTTCATTTTAGTCACTTGATAGGCAACTTTATAAGATGCTTCAAAGAGAGGCTGCCAACTGTTGTAAATCCCAACTTTGCTAAAGTTCCTTGATGGTCAAAATGTGCCGCCTTTGTCATTTCCAGCCTCTGTATTACTGTATACTTTTTTAAAATGTTTGTCAAATTGAAAAGTTTTGAAGTTTGCATTTGAAAATACCACTGAGTATAAAATGCATTGAGGTCTTTTTGTTCCATCTTTTTCGGTTGTCCAAGTGAACCCAAAACAATAGTAATCATTCCATTTCCTGGACTGTGAAAATAAAATATTGTATCCACTTTGCTGACACAAATCAGATGGTGACTAAATATTTGAAATAATTGAATTTCACTACTTTTGCACGGACATCATACAAGTCACATGGTTTGTTCCAGCCAAGCAATTGCTTATTTTTAATTTAATTTTTATTTTAAATTTGGATCCAATTTTGTTTGTAAATTGGCAATCTTTTTTTTACTTCTATGGATCTGCGTCTCTGCAGTATCCTTTGATCTTTGATGTGCATTTCTTGACTTCCAATTTCTCTTAACACTTTTGTCTCACCTTTTAATAAAATTTCAACCCAGACCCCACCCACTGATTAAGAACCATGTGTGTACAATATCAAATCTACTTGATGGCTTTCCATTGACACTAGAGTTTGCAAGATGAACTCTGGTAAAAGTCAGGATTTCAAAAGCTGATTTTCAAGATAAGCAGCTGCTTACTATTTTTAAAAATGGTGCAACACACTCTTGCTCCCTTTGTTTCCCTGTTAAGCTAGGCTTGGTAAACATATAATTGCATGCACTCCCACACTTTATATATTTATTCTGAATTTTTGTGTCTCTATGCACATAAAGTTCTCTAAGATAAATTAAAAAAGGATAATTTAGAAAAGTGATGAAGGTAAATATCTTTGGGTTTTTTTAACAAAACCATGACCAGCTAATATTTTGAAATCTTCTAATTGCTTATAAATATTCTTATTTTGAAATCTTATTGCTTATAAATATTCTTATTTTGAAATCTTCTTATTGCTTATAAATATTCTTATTTTGAAATCTTCTTATTGCTTATAAATATTCTTATTTTGAAATCTTATTTTAAAATCTTCTTGTTGCTTATAAATATTATTTTGAAATTTTCTTTGCTTTTCATTGGCTTTCTGAATTTTGATCAGATCTTTCGAAATGATAAACATTTTGCAGCTGGAATAGTTTTTCAAGATCTTATTTCTAACTGAAAACTTCAAAAGATGCATTTATTTTGATAAAAAAAATATTGTTAATCAATAAAAGAAAAAAAATGGTATCTTTTTTAACATTATCTTTAACAAATTCCAAATTAACATAAGAAGATGGTGCAAGATTTGCCAAGCAATGCAGTGTTAGGTAATGTTATATTTGGCTAACCCACAAAATATGTTCATTTCTCAACTTCTGATGAAATCTGTTCACAAGGATGGCCAGACTATCTTTTAATTAGTTCTGTAATTTATTTCAATGTCAGTGTGAAGTTGACTCCACTGGTAGGACCATTTAACTTTTAGAGAAGAGAATTGCTCAGCCATGCCGCAGGATCCATTATAAAAAGGAAACAAGATAATTTGCAAAATTTATCTGTTACATTCATGTCTACAATCACATAATACCTTGTCTAAAAATGGGAGGGTAAAGCATCTTTCCAAGAGGAAATGTTTTTAATTTAGTGTTGATCATATTTTATCTTCTAGAACTCCATGAAATTATTTTTGTTAAATCAAGAAAACCTTTCTTTCTGCGAACTGAAGGATTTTGATTGTTAAGTCTGAATGTAATTTGTTTATAAAAAAAAAATATACTCATCTCAGTATATTATTGATACACACACGTGTGTGTGTGTATATATATATATATATATATATAAAGTGAACATTGAAGTCAACACGCTGTTTCATGCTGGACACAATCGTCAGGCCGCATTGATGATTGTGTCGAGCATTAAAAAGCATGTCACCTCTGAGTGTTGACTTCAATGTTCACTTTTATATTTATATTTACATACTCTCTATCTCTGATATTGAGCACTTTATCCCATAAATATAGCACACCTTAAAACTATATTTCTTCATATATATATATATATATATATATATATGAAGAAAAATTTGGAAAAAACAAATAAAATCCTTACATGCAATTATGTTGTTTAAAATGAATGAAATGTGGACATTTCGGTTTAAAAACCTTCTTCAGGACAATATTCATTAAAATACAATTCAGTTCAATTTGACAAAGACGATGGACATAAAAACAAGTCTTATCCAAAACAGATAACTGAAAATTTTTAAAATGATCAGCTTTCCGTTTAGCATGTTCACGTTGTCATCACATGGGCGACGCTTTCAAACGTATTCCTAAAAATTTTGATTATTTTGAATGAAAAAGAAAATGAAAAGAATTCTATTATGATCTAAAATTTTTATGTGTCTTTGTCAAATTGAACTGAATTGTATTTTAATGAATATTGTCCTGAAGAAGGTTTATTAAACCAAAACGTCAGACGTCGACATTTCATTCATTTTAAAACAACATAATTGCATGTAAGGATTTTTTGTTTGTTTTTTTCCAAATTTTTTCATTCCATTCTGTCATATCTATATCCATTTATATTTACTTTATATATATATATATATACACACACACACCCACACCCATCTCAGTATATTTATTGATACACTTGTATTTTCTTCATGTTTCCTTTTGAATCAGATGGGCACAAAAAATTTGACTTTGCATATTTAAATTTTTATAAGAACTTTAATGAAGAAAGTAAAATTTTTAATAAGATTTAAATGGTCTTTAATCATTTTGTTGCTTTTTATCACATTTTCACTCATCTATTCTTCACCCTTCACGATTCCAAACAAAATCAAAACCTTAAAGGCAACTAGCCTGTAATATGTTTATATAAGAATTTCTAAATAGGCTTACAGACACATCACTTTGGAACACATACAATCATTGAAGTTGAGCAATATCGAGCCTGGTCAGTACCTAGAAATTGAATTTAGATAAACAAAATTTTCACGCATGTAAAAAAAAAGAAATAAAATTGATTTTTCAAGTCGGTTACTGACCACTTAGCAGTACCAGGTGCTGTATGTTTGGATGTGTTGGTGATATGATGGGCTTATAGCCATATCATTTTGAAATACCGGTCCTCGTACAATCACCAAAGTTAAGCAATAGCAAGCCTAGTCAGTATCTAGATGGGTGACCACTTGGGAATACCAACTGCTGTAAGCTTGGATGTGTTGGCGATAGGATGGGCTTACAGCCATATCATTTTGAAATACCAGTTCTCATACAATCACCGAAGTTAAGCAATGCTGAGCCTGGTCAGTATCTAGATGGGTGACCACTTGGGAATACAAGGTGCTGTAAGCTTGGATATGTTGGTGATATGATGATCTTACAGCCATATCATTTTGAAATACCGGTCCTCGTACAATCTCCAAAGTTAAGCAATGCCAAGACTGGTCAATATCTAGATGGGTGACTGCTTGGGAATACCAGGTGCTGTAAGCTTGGATGTGTTGGTGGTGTAATTGATAATGGTTAGGAACTGTTAATTAGAGAGCAGAGTTCCAGTTAGGTTCATTATATTCACTAATGTGCAAATATCCCTGAGAAAGATATGAATCCAACTTTTCTCCCCACACTTATGGGTTAATTAATAAGACTTATATCATCAAACCATTATCTCAAAAAAAAAAAAAATTCTTACAATCTAAAAATAAGGGTTGATAAGCTGTAAAAAGCAAATCAATCAATTTAAATGTTCATGGTGTTTTAAGTACAAAGGTGTTATGTTTGACAGACTATTCAAAAACAATCAAAAACATTTGTAATTCTATATGAAGATGAACCTGTTCATAAAGCTAATATTTAACCTTTACTGAGACAACCAATATTTCCTGATTCTTTCTTGCTGAAATAAGGGGGCACCTTTTATGGCTTGTGTCCAGTCAGTCATCAAATAAATGTATTTCCCTAATTTATAAGCATTCCTGTTATAAACTTTCAGAAAGGCAAATAAGCCTGTATATAAATTCAACTTTGGACCCCCACATCAATTCAAAAGTTTGATTACTGTATGTGAGATGGCATTAGTGTCAATGTCATTCTGCATAGTGATGCAGTTGATGCTTTCCATGACATCATGGTGTTAATCATTTATTTTGAACATCTAAACTTGGATATTATTTAAAATGACAAAAAATAAGGGATAACCATTATTTGTTAGAGATTTTTCTTTCCTAATATATCTGCTAAATTTTGAGACTTGATAAATTTTTACAACTGTTAGATACTATGCTGTAATTCCTATAATTAGAAATGAGTCTTTAACTTCTCTTACAGACTTGGTAAGCAGTAGCAATGCAAATTGTTCAAATGGAGTGGCAAAAAAACTTCAAAAGGAGCAATAAAGCATATGAACATGTCAGAAACAAATCAGTAAATGTTATTGGCGACATCAGTGAAAGGTCCAATTATCTATAATAGAAACTACTGACTTGGAGTGGCAAAAAATGATCAAAACAATTGAGTAATTTTGTATACCTTGGTTATATTTTCTCCATGGGTAACCACCAGTTTATTTATCTATAGAATTAAATCTTGTGTCAAATGAAAGAATGAATTCTGGATTTTAAATCATTAAAAGTAAAAACTAACAAAGAAAACTAACATGAAACAAAGAATCTTTTTTAAATATTATATCTTTACAGCTTGGCTGACCCTACTTATAGGATATTCCGTTTTTATGGTAACACAAAGAATGTTTGTGTAATGATATGTAAATTAGGTTCTGTATAAAAGGCAGTATTATGATACCTACAGAAGAGTTAGCTTCTCTTGATGAGACTACATCTGTCAGGGAGAATACCTAACATAAAATATGGCATTGCCAGTTGGTTACTTTACCACAATAGAGGATCCTAAGAATGTAGAAACCTGACTTAGGTGTTTCGCAGCATTGGTGAAAGTAAAGAAATTAAAGGACATCAGAGTATATGTGGAGTTCTTACAACAATTGGAACTGATTCAAAACTTTAATACCTTTGAAGGCAGCATAGAGACTTAAAGTGCTACTAAAAGCTTAATTGTATACAGATATTGCAATAAGGAACATGAAAAGAGCAAAAATAATTGTTCCTGTTCTCATACTACTCTTGGTGATTGTTAAGATGAACAAAATGGTGGAACAAGGAATATTAGAAAAAGTCAGCCAAGGTGGTAGCAATTGGGTTTCACCAATTGTGGTGATAGATAAGCCCAATGGAGATTTAAGAATCTGTAGTGATTGTAAGGTGGGCATGAATTGTCAGATCTGTTCGGATTCATTCTCATTGAAACATTGCAGGCCATGACTTTGCTGGTATGAAATACTTTGCTAAAAGTCAGCATATAATCAGATAAAAATTGATAGCAAGTTTCAAGCAGTCACTAAAGTGAACACCCCTATTGGATTACTAAGATGGACTCATCTGCTGTTTGGAGTAAAAACATCAAGTCACATTTTCCAAAAAGCCATAAAAAAAGTTTTAGAGGGAATTGAAAATACAGGGTGTTTCAAAAAAATTTGATATCCTTTGAGATGTAAATATCACAGAAAGTACATGATTAAGGCAAATGAAATTAAAAAGTATTAATGTTGAAGATCATAAGATTTATTCTTCCAAATCTGAATGAGAAATTCAAAAGCATGTGGATTATGTGAACACACAAAATGCCTTTTCTCTTCTAGTAAATAGCATTTTATACCTGTAAAAGAAAAGATTAAAAGATTAAAGAACAAAAAAATAAAATAAGAAAAACAAAGACATAAAAACATAAAACAAACATTAAACATAAAGATGCTATTAAAATTTGAAGTCATTTGAAGGAGATCTAACAAAGTTATTAGATTGCGAAATGATATCAAATTTTTTGAAACACCCTGTATAATTCTATATCAGAACAAAATGGAGCAAGTTTTGAGAAAATTAAATAGTGCAGGTATGACAATCATGATAAATGCAAATTTAATTGTGAAAAAAATTAGTACCTTGAGGATATCAAATTTCCAAAGATGGTGTATCGACAAATGATAAACTCATTAATAAGATATCAGAGATAGCTGTAACCGGAAATTAAAAAAGTTAGAATCTTTTTTAGGATTAACCAATTTCTATAACAGATATCTACCATGATATAGTGACCTTGTGGAACCATTTAAGGAAGAAAAATACTGAGTTTCAATGGACAAAAAACAGGAGATCGCTTTCAAGAAATTAACAAAGGCACTCATAAACAAACCAGTTGTTAAAATCTTCAACCCAGCACAAGAATTGACATTAACTACTGATGCCAGTGACTGTGCTATAGCCACAATATTGTCACAGGAGGATCAACCTGTAATGCACTTATCTAGAAAATTTAACATCGGCAGAGGCAAATTATTTGAATATTGAGAAGAATGCATTGGCAATTATATGGCGTATGGAAAGAGCAAGAAATTTTTTTTGCTGGGAAGGAAATTTCTATTAAAATCTGATCATAAGCCTTTGGAATTTACTTTCAACCCCAGAAGAGAGTTGCCAAAGGTTACATCTGCCAACTTTGACATCTTATATATTAAAGGAAATACTATTCCACATGTGAATGTATTATCCCGGTTAAATTTTAAGAGTAAAAATGTTGAAGTAAGTGAAAATTGTGAGGATAGGATTTTGTACTGGATAGAAACGGATTATCCTTAAATCGGCTTAGGTTGGGAACTAAGCGAGATCCAGTGTTGAATAGAATTATGGATAGAATAAAGAGAAATACATGGAGTAATTGCTCTATGGCCGAGAGTCTTTATAAAGAGTCAAGACACAAATTAACAATAGAAAAAGGAATTATATATAATGGAGATATCATAGTACATCCACAGTCTTTGAGAAAAGAAGTAATTAAAGCCATGCACGATGATATACATGAAGGTATATTGGCTAAATAAATGAAGTTAAAGTTGCAAGCATGGTGGCTAGGCTATTCAAGAGACATGGAGGAGTATGTTAAAAAAAAGCCCAAAGTGTGCAGAAATAAAGAAATTTAGGCAAACTTAAATTCATTTTTGACAAAAGGAAATTGAACCATAAACACAAATGTATATGGATCATGCCTACATTAAAGGTATAGGACTATTTCTGATATTGATCGGCTTGTATTCAGGTTGGCTTGAAGTTGTTAAGGATGGATAGAAAAGCCACTAGTGTGAAGTAGGTGTTGAGGATAGTGTTTTTGAGAAATAGGGTTCCAAAAACCTTGGTCTCCAACAATGTACTGGAATTTTGTGAAGAAAGTTTATGTGCATGGTTAAAAATATATTGATTCCATTTCATACAAAACTCCACCTAACTACCCGCAGTCAAATGGCATTGTGGAAAGAATGGTTCAAACACTAAAAATGGGATTAAAAGCATTCTCTCCAGTTATTTACACAGACCATTCCTAAGTTATAGCACTATTCCACATGCAGGCAGAAGACAAACCCCATCTGCATTGATGGGAAGACAAGATCTCTGATTACCATGTTATTTGTAATGAATGAAAGTGTGTAGTACAGAAAGGGCAAGGATTCAAGTCCTGAAAAGGCAAATTTTGTAGTGCAAAAGGGATTTAGCACAGAGTGGTGTTAACAAAGAATGGACAGAGCATACTGGCCCACAAAAAACAATTTAGAACCACAAGAGAGCATGAAGTTATGGAAGAGGAAGCAGAAGAACCACGATGCAAGAATGAATGAATCCAGTATTGCGAGTGATCAGGAAGACCACCAGAGATATGAAAATGAAGAACAGTAGAGGGAGGAGAGAATGGGTGTATCCAGTAGTAGTGAGGAACAATCTGGGGGATGAGATTGACTGGAGATGATGATGATGATGATTCAAATGAGGAGAATCAGTTAAGACCTAGATCTCCTATAAAAAGAAATAAACTCACTCACTCTGGGAGACAGATTGTGTCACCCAGGGTTGTTTGTAGAAGATCAACTAAAGGTATAAAGCTTCTTAGGTTCAAGGAGGTGTTGTGATATGTAAATTAGGTATTGTATAAAAGGCAATATTGCTATACCTATGGGAGTGTTATCTTCTCTTGACAAGACCTCTATCAGAGAGAAAACCTATCACGACAGTTTGCTTATTGATGCCAAATAATTCTTATAACAATGGAATATCTTGTTAGCAAGACGAGATCAAGCTGATAAATCTATAAAAACACATTTTTGTTTGTTTTTATTTTTTTTATATCAACTGAAAATGTTGAAACAACTTCTATGTGAACAGATATTTTAATTTTCCTTAAGCAATGAAAGAAAGTAAGGCAGTATCATGAACAACAGAACAGTACCATTATCAATACATTTACTATAGAGTACTTCCAAATATTTGCACCTACAGACAAACTATAAGGATGTATCATTTTTGTAAGTTGAGGAGCTATTTCATAACAAATGATGCACACACAATGTGAAGATGAATCCTTTTCTAAAAGCAA